TTAAAAGAACAGCGAGTTTAGAACATTCGGAAATAGGTGGGGCCATGGAAACGCGTAAACAACTCGTTTCTTGCAACGTGTGGAGCGACGAAGATGGTCTTTCCCCCGTCATGCTCGAGAGTACGAAACGAAACCCGCGTGCACATAGAGCGTTAGTCATCATCACCATCACTAGCTAGGCTATTACTGTACATTACAACATCTGGCTGTATACTACACATACACACATAATAATAAATAAATAAATAACATAAACACCTACCAAAGAGATACTTGCTCGTGCGTGCCCTATTAATAAACATGACCTAATTTATTTATCCCCATTTAAATAGGTCCTATCTTTAATCTTGTTTATTCTGCAGTTGGTCCTAACTGGTCCTTTTTTTTTACAACTGCGGGGATGTTACACGTATCATCATTGACCTTGCACCCGTATAAAAATAAACTGCGTAGCTACGAAACGCGGCGATTTTAAGAGCGAAACGCGCATTGATGGCGATGATGATGATGACACGCGCGTTATTCTCTCACACCCCCTCCATCTATAGCGCTCGCAATTCAAGCGCGAGACGTTATAAAAATCCACAAACTTTAGAGAATAACATATCACCGCACTGTTTTGCACACCAGAAGTCATGCACCGAAAAAGTTCCGAAATGTTACGCAAGCTTAGGTGTTATTCACTCATGAGTCATTCCAGAACTGGCAATAGAAGAAACTGTGCGGACTTTGGGGGGTATTAATCATTTCAAAACAGAAAGTAAATAGTGTGTGCAGAATAAAAAGCATTAAAGCAACTGAACATAAATGCATTTCCCCACGCACAGCAATGTCCTTACCTTTCTTATCCTCTTCTTCGTTATTGCCTCCACAGCAAACACTTGCTCTCCTATTGATGACAGCTCCATGTTAATGAGATCATCCAGTGCAGCAAATATAGTTTCTGATCTCTCCCGTTTTTCCTCCTCAGGGGATACAATGTCGCTTAACTCTACTGCTAAAACTCTAATCCTAAAACTCTAATTTTTTTTGGATTTAAACCCACTGCACCATCAGGTTCCGCCGCTGTTCCAGCTCTTTCTGAGTTTTAAAATCTGCGACACATGTACGCACTGGCTTGGCTTGGCGCGTGCACGCTTTACGCGCTCGCGCCCACCCACTTCTCCGTGTATGGCAAGCAAGGTTTACATTTATTCTTCTAACATGTAACTATTTAATATATTTTCTAATTAGCAGTCAAATAAAAGTTAGCACGTATTTCTTTTTACTGGTAACTATCCTAATTTATAGATTAAAAAAATACTAGAAAGATTAAAAATATTTTACTAACAATTGATATATGGTGCCTAATAAAGGTACCAGAGTTCAAACAACTGGAAACTATATATATATATATATATATATATATATAGGCTAATAACTAAAAAACAACAATAGAATGTTTATTTGACACTATTGAATAGCCTTCTAGTTATTTTATATAATTTTAACTAGTAAATAAAAATCAAGTAATATAATAATTTATTTAATTTAATTTAGTTTACAGTTAATCCTCATGTCATTACAACCCCTACAAATTTTGTTCATCTTCAAAAGAAAAATTAAGATATTTTGAATAAAACCTGAGAGCTTTCCATCTCTCATTTGACATTCCAACTCCTTTGTTGCTTCAAAAAGTTCATTAAGACATTGTAAAAGTAATCCCTATGAATCAAGCAAATTGAGCAATCGAGTGAATATGACTTTAGTCAACATTTTATGAAGAGACTTGATCACTTTATTCAATGAACATATAGAATTTATGTTTTTATTCATATATAAACATTGATCAGTAAACATAACCAGAAGCTCAATCGTATTTCCTTGACGCGTGAGAACCAACCTCACTTGTTTTTGCTGAAGCTCAAACGTGTTGCGTAATTCAATAATGAACTTCATTGGTTCTTGCAGAAGCTCAAAGGTGCTGCGTAACTTACGAGAATGAACCTCATTGGTTCTTGCAGAACCTCATTAGTTCTTTTAACGTGCTGTGTAACAAACTAGAATTAATCTCATTGGTTCTTGCTGAAGCTCAAACGGGCTGTGTAACATACGAGAATGAACCTCATTGGTTCTTGCTGGAGCTCAAACATGCTTCATAACATACGAGAATGAACCTCATTGGTTCTTGCAGAAGCTCAAACAGTGCTGCATAAAGCTGCATTCACACTACACGCGACCAAGCGACACGATACCATTCATTTTCAATGGTGAGTGGGCGACTTCCGGCGACACGCGCGGTCACGGCCGGTGGGGCGTGTCCAGCGACACGACAAAGTTGAGAAATGTTTAACTTTATGCAAATGAAGAGTGATTTTTGCGAGCGACAACCAATAGGAGTGAAGTCAGTGGAGCGCGTCACTGCTGAGTCTGACCGAGGCAAGTTGAACGAGAAGCTCATTTTAGCAGTCAGAAACTGTCCTATAATTTATGATATCTCCGTGTACATACGTTTTAGGTGATAGACCGGTATTTGCTTGTTTGCTGCAGTTAAATTGCCGCGATGGCAAAGAGCTCGCTGTTTCTCATTCATCTTTAATATTATGCATTTATGTACTGATTCCATTTATATTTAGACTTTTCCTTCCAAATTATTTATTTGTAGCGGCAATAAAACAGCCGCTGCAGGTCGCAGCCACTGGCGACCTGCAGCAACAAAGTCGCATGTAGTGTGAACGCAGCTTAACACACAAGAATTAATCTCATTGGATCTTGCTGAAGCTCAAATGTGCTTCGTAACACAAGACTGAACCTCATTGGTTCTTGCTAAAGCTCAAACGTGCTGCGTAACATGAGAATGAACCTCATTGGTTCTTGCTGAAGCTCAAACGTGCTTCGTAACACAGGAATGAACCTCATTGGTTCTTGCTAAAGCTCAAACGTGCTGCGTAACATGAGAATGAACCACATTGGTTCTTGCAGAAGCTTCCACGCAAATATCGTGGTTGCTGCGGTTGGCTTAGCAGTTTTGCGGTATTACAATATTGCGGCTATCTCGCCAGCCCTAAATGAACCTTGATTCTTGATCAAGCAAGCATGCTAAGCTTATGTTTACCATATCTGTGTGTGTGTATGTTGATTAATGACTGAATGAATGAAAAACATTTACATGTGAATAAAAGCCTAAATTCAATCTGTTCATCATATAAAGCGATAGTGTCTCTTCAGAGAATTTGGACCAAACGGCTCAATTCATATGGAATAGTTTTACAATCTATTTATGAACTTATTAAAGCACCTGGACGGACAGAAATAGAAATATATAAAGTTTCATTAAAATATCTTCATTATTGTATTTCGAAAATGAACGAAATTAAGTCTTATATAGTTAGGAACGACAGGAGGGTCTGACCGAATTTTTATTTTTGGGTGGACTAAAGAATAAATGTTAACTTGGCTTGCCAAACGCCATTCGTCCCTTTAGTAGCCACGAGAGTTCACGCGCGCTGAGGAGCGCGACTGTTTTTGCCAAGAAATGGAAATGAAAGACGGGAAAAGGTGGTCTCTCTCTGAGCGATAAAGATGTATACGATGAGTCACTTTTGAGCCATACGAGAATATCATTGCAGAGGCTGATGTAAAGCCCTGTAAATGGTAACGTGATCAGCACATAGCCTACACTTAGAACAGAACGAAAGTTAAATAATGTTTTCCGAGAAACACGCTGAATAACATTGATAATTAGTCCTTCCCGGAATCTGCGCCAACGGAATACCACAGAAAGTTCCGCGAATTTCCAGAGAATTCCTGCGCCCCTCACATCTGCCCCCTCCCACCCATTGCGTGCTGCTATCACGGTTCTGGTTTTATTCGATAGGCTATTTACCAGATTTAAACCAAATCGACAGAATTCCGCCGATATTCCCCAAAACCCTAACAATGAAAAATGTAATAAAATGTGATAGTGTAACAGTGCAAGTGAAGGATAAGTTCAAAATTGAACTTATTGATGTACAAGCACATGAGCACAGAATAAAAAGCCATCACCGAAAGTTACACGTTAAGCCTTTTTCCCACAGAAATTCAGGCTATTCAGTAGGCCTAAATTCAGTAACGTTAGCTATGGCAGAATATCTTGTCGATGATGTAAGCTAATACTGTGTACAGGCAAGCAGATGAGAATTTTCTCCCTCATATAATTTCACTGTCTGTCTAGGCTAGGGCTATAAAGCAACGGGTTCTAAATTATGTTTTTTTTTTTTAATCGGAGAAAACAATGTGGGTTAACGCGCTTAACGTTAAACTTTTTTTGTGTTGCGTACCTTGCCTGTGTTACAAATAAGTTGTGTAGGCCTATATGGCAGGCTACTAAATTAATTAATTCGAGTAGCCCATCGTCTTTTAAGTGCATTTTTTTTACGGTAAGCATTTTACAATTTCCAAAAACGAGCGCAAAAATGAGCATCCCAATTAAATGTAAATGCAAATTACCGTTAGGTTCGCACATCGGATTTCATTTCAGAACAAAATTTTATTCGTATTATCAATAGCTCAACTTTTTGAATTTAAAGATGCTTTAAAAGATAGATGGTAGAAGAAAGGTAGATAGAAGAAAGGAAAGGTAGAAAAGAAAGGCAGATAAAAGAAAGATAGATAGATAGATAGATAGATAGATAGATAGATAGATAGATAGATAGATAGATAGATAGATAGATAGATAGATAGATAGATAGATAGATAGATAGATAGATAGATAGAGGCTATGTGTCATAAACTCGTCTTGACTTATACAAACAATAAGTTGTGTAAACTTGTCTTCATGAGTCAAATTTGGTGACTCATATGGATAAAGACATAGGCTACAGTAGGGAAATAAATTATTTTGAAGGAAGTGCCAGCAATTTTTTTTAATGGTAAAACCAATTTAAGACAGGCCTACAAACACTGAAATTACAGTTCATTTATTAGTCGGGGGCATGCGGTTATAATGTCGTGAGGTAATCGCTTGCACATACGATAGATGGCGCTGTCGTGCCGTTGAATTAATGCGCTTCTCCATTGGCGACTTGGAAGGACATAGCCTATTTATCCTGTTATCCATTTTTATCCAATGTGTTTTTTACTCAAACCCTCCTAATGCCATCGATTCTCAATAAGTCCGATATAGCTACAGTATTTCCGAAATTTCAGAACTCAGATATCAGGCTGTCGTGATCATTTGAGAATCTTATAAGGCCGTTACACGCAAGAGCAGCAGGATACCGCAGGTTAGTCAGCCGCACTTAGCCGCTAACATCACAAACATGGAACCGCACAACTCGACGTTTGGAGTGCAGCTTTTCATTTATGATCTATCGCGGGGAATGGCCAGACAGCTCAGTCCGATAATGTTGGGTGAGTGATGTCTTTACCGCTACATTGGTTAGGGCCGAGAAATTTCCAATCCTACCATGAAGAAGGTCTCATTCTTACATATTACATCTACATGCTTCGTTGCCTGGTCATCTTCCAATAAGAAATCTTAGCTAATGAATATTAATTTTCTTTTATGCTAACATCACTTGTATCCGACCAACAGCGAAGATTTAGGGCTTGTTTATTATTGAGATTATACTGACGTTGCTTTTTTCCCATCCAATGGCGAAGACCTTGCTTATGAATATGTAAGAGACACCTTCACTGTTCTAGAATGTATAAATGCGCGTTACACAAATGATCGATGAAAACACCTTTTCAACAAAATCTCTTATTCACTTAACCGTACGAGCTATTTTTTACAGCGAGACCCTTTTATCCGCCTATCTCAGTAATCTTGCATTATTTATAAATAACAAAAAGAACAAACTGTTTTAGAACACGATGTTCTTAATGGTAATTAATCGAGTCACATGCTCTAGGTTTTCAATCTTTTAGATGCCAGCCACGGACCCCCAAAAAGATCATCCCTGTGTGAGGGTCGGGACCACCATCCTAAAATGTATAAGGCATCTAAACACATATTAATATTATTAAGCTAAAATTGGTTTCAGTTATGATTATATTATACTCACTGTAGTAATGTATTGTTATATGTACTATGTCTATTTATATTTTGTTTATTCACCTAACCTATTAAGTAGATTAATAATGAACTCATTATTTTTATTTGAATCAAACATTTTTAGTTTGAAAACCCCTGCTAGTTTGTTAAGGTTCATCAGATTGAAAATAATTCTTTAAATGGGTCAAACCAATCAAAATCTTAGCATATATAATATAATTAATATCTATCTTAAAGTATATGATATCTAAAACATATTCTTTCTTACAGGAAAACAGCTTGATGGGATTTGGTATGTGAATTACCTTTAATTAATATTCTACTTATAACAGATCATGGTGAAAATCCTTTATTCATAAACAAGTTAAATACATAATTATATTATATCTGTTTTAAATGTTTATGTTTTTATGCTTGTGAAGTACTTTGATCTACATTTCATGTATGAAAAGTTTTATACAAATAAATGTTATTATCTGATATGTCTTATAACATGTTTTAACTATTTGCATTTCCTGTTACGTTGTGTCAACACAGGCACACATCTATAGTGGTCTATGGAGAGGAATTTTTCTATGGTGGTGCTGGGATCTCAAGTTGCCCACCGGTAAAATCACAACCAACTGCAATCCTTCTTGTACTCAAGATAGGACAAGCGCTTAAACATCGACCCGAAAATACACTCGATTAATGTACTCTATATTGTGTTCTTTGTGAACCCTCACTTTACATGTTCATAGTCCATGTGGAGCATTGAACGGCACATCTTCGCACATTGTTTTCGTCAAATTTATTTGTGGGTTGTTGAGATTAAATGGCCATGGCACAAAATATTGCATTTGTTCTGGGGCGGCTGCAGTATGTGCCATAGTGTGTGCGTGTGTTTACAGGGCGGGACGATGCTCGGGCCTCCAGACACAGTGGTGGAACTGGGAAATACAGAGGTGACAGAGGAGATCTTTATGGATTATCTGTCCTCACTTGGAGAGACAACATATAGGTGAGTGTGTGTTTTTGACTATTGTTTATTTCAGAAAATTAAGTCCTAAATAAATCCTTCCAGTTTAAAGTCCTTATTAAGTCTTTTGTACTGTACAAACATGTGCATTACATACATGTACATTGCTTGCAAATAAGTCTCTTTATCTGCTTTGGTATCTCTCTCTCTCTCTCTACAGTGGTGACAGGTACAGATTGTTTGAACACAACTGTAACACGTTCACTAATGAGGTGGCCCAGTTTCTCACTGGAAATAAAATTCCCTCCTATATCACAGATCTGCCCTCTGAAGTGCTCTCCACGTGAGTATGCTAAACATAAACTCGCTCAGACATGATTTTCAGGGTTGTTTTCATTTCCACTTAATTGGAAAGTATTTAGTACTACATACAGGGAATAAATAATAATGTTATTTTCACAGTTTTTCCAGAACTTCATGCTCTCTCTTTCTCTCTCAGGCCATTTGGTCAGGTGTTGCGGCCAATCCTGGACTCGATACATATCGCCCCTCCAGGCGGAAACGTGATCAACAGCCAAAATAATCATAGCTAGATCATCTTTGTAATCTCACATACTCACACATGCAATAATTCTCACAAAGGCTTGTTAATTCACACACATTTGCCCTGTTATAAATTAAATTGGCTCAAAAATCAACCATTTGTCATCCACATTCACAGTTGCCCAAATATTTTGCTGAAAGTGTTTCAAGCACAAGGTCTTGGGTCATCCTTCCAGATCATATTTTCATATTTCTCTTGGTCTCTATGGTTTTCATTTTATTATCTATCTTTATTTTGTATTTCTACAACCCACCACATGCAAAGGTCATGTGTAAAACATTTTCAGTAAAAATGCATATTTGTTGATGATAATCCAACTCCTGCTAGTTTTGATTAATTTCACTGAATTTCATGCTGTTTTCCCCACTAATATGTCTGTTTATACGTATTAATATTGGCAAGCCAAAAAGTATAAAGACGCTTTCATTTTATTTATTTATTTTTGTGTGTAAATTTGTGACAAAGACTTGTATATGACTTGCATTAGTTTTTGCTCTGAACTGAAGATCTCATTGAATGTGACCGAATGGACCATGATGCTTGTGGCTCAGAGTCAGAGAAATACACATAGGTATGCATCTGTGCCTTTGTCATGGCAGCTCGGGCACAGGTACTGTAATATTTTTAACGCATCTATGTAAAGTATTCATTATTTCTACATGTTTTGTTTAAGGTAGATGATGCCCCCTCCATTTCTTTACCGAGCTAAATGCTTTTATATATGCTTTACGCTTGTTTTATTTTAATGAAAGAAAAGTTTGCTGCTGTTGTCAGTGTTAGCTAAATGTGTGTCTTTGTTCTTGATATTTATTAACATGTTCCTCCTATTTTGAAGCGCTTTATTTATTTGGCACAAGTGACGCATGTAACATTCAGAGATGTTTGATGGAAAATTTTTATTTAGTTGTTTTCATGCTGTTCTCATTGTCAAAATGTTGCTGCAAACCCTAAACTGCACTGATTATTTTGAGATTTATCCTCATGTTTTAATGGAAGTCATGTCATTAAAGAACCAGCAATGAGTCTACATAAAGTGCCCTTTGTGTGTTATCCTCATATTCTTTTTACAATCCAAAAATAGACATGGAGTAAAAATGCATATTTTTCCACACATACATTTTAAGCACTACTTAGAAATCAACACATTCACAGTTCTGAATTAATTAAAAAAACAGAACTGGAGATTCACTGACAGATGTTTTGAATAATTTTTTCCATTAAAGATACAGTAGGCCTGAGATACAGCGTGCAGCCAGTACATGGTTTTACAAACTTTTTGTCTGCAGGAGGACACATCTTTGGATCAGCCTCCGCTGGATGTGTTTGATTCCCCTTTTCTACAGCTACCCCATGTCGGATTATTCGTTTATTTCTTCGATGGCTCTCTCTAAAGCCCCGACCTAGTAACACATGTGACTAACAAGCAGAAGGTCCATGAAAACTAAAACAAACAGAACCTAATGGTGACAACACAGCGTAGCCTACTTCCTTAAAAAAAAATGAATTCAACCACAATTAAACTACCCTTCACAATAGATAAAGCTCTACAATGAACTCTGTTGGAGAGCTACAATGGCAAATTAAAATACAATACTCACTTGCTGAGTGATAAAAACACCATCTCCTCGTCGCTTTTACAACATTTTCAAATCCCCTAGTTCTTGCAGTCCCTGAAAAACCAAGGCGATTTTGATTCTTGTTTTACGAGCCGTCAAGTTTTCTTTTTGCCATTTTTTTTGGTTTGAGATTTAGCTGCTCCAACTAACCTATTCACACACCACAGGCCTGCATGCTTCAAAGCAGGAGCAACTTTTCTATATTTCCTGTGAAAAACAATCCCACTTGGCCTAAAATATAAACACTTATAATAGACTTAGGGTACCATGAATCAAGGTAAGACAAAACACGTTTTTGAAAGAAGGATTGATGATATATTGACTTTAAATTTAAATGTAAAATTAAAATTTTGTTAAAGCTGCAGTTTGCAGCAGTGGCGGAGCCAGAGGGGGGTCCGGGGTGGCACTGGACACCCCTGACATGCGATTGGCCACCCCGGGTGCCACCCCAAAATTTTATTGGCAGTTGCTGATGCTGATTAAAAAAAAAAAAAAAAAAAAAACCTTTCGTCAGCACGCGCGCATTTTTCAAACAGACGAGCAGCAGAGGACGAGAGATGGTTGCAAGTCAGGATACGTCTTCATCTTCACAGAAGAAACATCATATTTAAAGTAAGTTTTAGCATCAGGGTTGTTTACTCCGAATACATTAATATACGCATACAGTAGGCTACCATGCCGTGATGCGTTCTGGGTGCGTTTCCCGAAAGGTTGGCCAACTATGGTCGCAAGTCGGTCGTTAACGGCATAGTTCAATGACAACGATATTTTTGTTAGCAAACTAAAAGTGTTCGTAGAATTTGTATAATTGTTCTTTTTACCTGGGTGCAAAAAGGCAGCTGGAAAATGAATTAAACGTGTGCTAGAATACTTTCCAAGTCATTACATTGAGTATTATAAATTCAGACGTTTGTGATACATAAAAATAAAAAATAAAACAAGATTATCTTTTAAAATCGTCAATTTTTCCTGTGCGTGAGACTGGAAAACCCGTAGTGGATGGAGGCGGAGTGATAACAGAACGCTTAGAGTGCAGAGAGGAACGGGCTTTGGCTCCAGTCCTGGCTTTGCGTCCGCGCCGTTAGGAGCTCAACATCTGTCTCGTATGCACGTTCGCTCTAGATTAGAGGATATTTTAATTAACTAATTTGCGGTAAAACTAGTCGATCACGAGTGGCTCAACGGGTGGAACTATAGATAAACTCATTTTTTCAGGTATTTTAGTGACCGGCTTGACACTTTAGCATGAGAAATCGGGGGTGTAGCGTGAGAATTGTCTCACACTCAATGCGTGAGAGTTGGCAACCCTGCACACACTGTTCTACAAAGGCAAAGCACAGTAACGAAAATTACATATGATATTTGGTCAAAAATGAGTTAAGACTTGTAATGGGCTTTATGACATGTCTGTCTTGTGAAAAAATATCTGGGTTAAATTATGTCCTGTTTCGGAGATGCATTACCACTCTACACATAACATGTTTGACTGGCTGGTATAAAAAAAAAACTTTAAAGGCATTTTTCTCCGTTTCTTCATCAGAACCGCAGAATTGTGTTGTTTTAATTGATGGGCACTAAAATTTGTTTAAATTTTGAAGTAGATGTCTGCTTGATGACTGCTGTATCTAATTAAAAAAAATGTTTGTAAATGTGATTTTTTTTTTTTTTTTTTTTTTTTTTTTTTTGTAAATAAACATAGCAGTTCAAAACAGACCCATGCTACTGTATCTTATCTCCTTGGTGCTTCAGCTTTGTTTTCTGCTAATATTTTGGATGTTCAACGCTTATTACAAACAGAGTGACCCAATTACTTCCACTGTGTGTGTGTGTGTGTGTGTGTACCCCCAAAAATAGCAGTGGCCACCCCCTGGCCACCCCATGTATAAAACTCTAGTTCCGCCACTGGTTTGCAGTTTCTCCTCTTTGTCGCCATCTCTGTTCGAAATCTGCAATTACAGTCATTCGTGGAATTATCAACTTTACGCGAGTTGTACCTTGACACGGCACAGCGCGGATGAACACAATGTTTGAGGAGACTGTGAGGCTGTCAGTCACCACGTCGATGTGGATACTGGCATTCAGAATCACAGATTATTCTTTTTGGAAGTATGACCAACGTAAGATTTTTCATTGGAAAATGTCATCTGAACTTGTAACATCCACTTTTGTTCTGGTTCTGACATTGAAATAAATCACGCTGATTAAATCTAACAATCGCTAAGTTATCATATCACGCAAAACCATCCAAATTATACTTTGTCCTCAAATTGTTAATGTTAACAACGTCAGCATTGCGTGACTACATGTAATGTCCTTCCAATATTTATGCTTGTTTACAGCCGTTTGCAGTCTTTTGCATTTTACAGCGGGTGAATCTGTTGTCACTGGTGATTGTCGTTTGAATCTTTCTGGATCCGCCATCAAACTTATAAGTTTAATTATATCAAGTGCTGTGAGAAAATAAATCTCCACCTCCAACATCCTCACACGCAACATAGCTTATACTACTAGCTGAGACTCTTTCTTTATGTGTTCAGATGTGACCTAATAGAGTGATGACATCACTTTGTAGGACAACTCAGAAGCTAGCCGCGCCTGGGTTCCCTCAATCGATAAGCTATACATTTTCCCCAAAGACTTTTGGAAAATCGCAAAAATAAGATCTGTGTTTAACAAAGAGTTGTGACCTTTACACGTTTTGTCTATCAAGATAATCTTTACAAGTTAATCCAAAATCTATACATTTTGAAGCCTATATAATTTTTTTTAAAAACACAAGCAGACACAATAAAGTTTAAAAAACCACAAGCAGGTTATAACTGTGTGTTCTATGTCATAGATCAAAACGTGAAAATATTTAGAGGCTTTGCCTTTGTTCACCACAGACCTTATTTCAGGCGATTTAGCAAAAACCCATTCAAAAATCCCATAGACTTTAGAGCGAGGGAACCGGGAGTGCTTAAATGCAAACTCACTTTCACGTTTTGACCTACAGAGTGACGTCGTAACTTCGGCACTATGACGCAAAGACAAGCTCGAGTTCCCCGTGGAAATCCACAACATTTTTCTCTTATTACGACTGAAAAAAAAAATAAAAAAAATCCACCAGTCCCACTGGAATTAAAAACATTTGTTACAAGTTTACCGTTTTGAATCGAGCTAAGGCACGCAGATAGTTTTGAACACTGTCTGGTTATGTATTTTCTCAAATATATATTTTGGATCATTTTAACCCCCCAAAAAAGCTACAGACTTCAGCTTTACTTTTGAACAAAAAATTACATATTGTACCCAACTGTTAATACATAACGTTTTAGATTGAAGTAAAAATCTAACAATAACATCAAAATCTGAATACAAATAATTTAAATGCTATCAAGTAATAAATACATCCATAATACAACATTATTTGTATTTAGCCAACTGTATTTATTCTTAAAAAATATTTTTCTCTACTTTGTACAATCAAACTTACTCTTTTAAGAGAACATCTCTTATCACAGGCAGAAAGACAGGTATTTTTTCAGATTATGTAGATAAACTTTCTTTAAAAGTGTACTGCCCTAGAAAAACACAAGATGGAGACGTTACACAACGCAACACTGCTTTCCATCAGCTCTCTGGTAGTTTCCTCCAGAATGGAATAAAGACAACCGAGTGCGGCAGCATGGGACACTTTTCCTCATTTGCTGCTTGTGACCAATAGTAGGCTATAGGTCTCCTTTGTGAGACAAGACAAACAGGTCCTTCTTCAAGATTATTTTCCCCAAATAACATGTTGCTATGCTACTTTTAAAGAAAGATAGTGAGATTATTTTTGAGTAGGTGAAGGGAACACAAATTCAGTCTTTTTTTCTCATAAATGAAGACATTTCACTTAAATATTTGTTTTGTCTTTTAGAATGATAATATTAAAAGGTAGGCTAATACAACAAATGATTTTAGAAAGGGAGTCCCTCACAAGGAGATGATATTTGAGGGTCCGTGAGTGAAAAACACATTCACACTTCCTTAAATGACAGCTTTCTTATCCATTTTTGAGCATGTCCATTTGTAGCATTGCGACTGAATGCTTCACTGGAGAAGGGGCGCCTGAAGTCAACCCGGTTACACTCATTCACTGACTCATTCTCTCCAGCTAACACTGTCACTGCGGGAGGTGTGACCTCTGCGGAGACGTCGCCAATACTCTCACACACTTGCGGTCGCAAGAGTGTGTGTGTGTGTGTGTTTTTGACTGTGACAGACCCTCGATCTGACAACCCAACGTCTTGGTGCACACGTAAACATGACCCAGAAAGGTTCTGAAATTACATCTCAGAATAGAAATAAGCAGTTTAACACAAACTTAATCCCCACATAGAGACCTATGATGGATTCTCTTGGTACTCCATCCTGTTCTGTTAAATGGTTTGTC